GCTCAAAGCTACCAATAAAATCTTAGGAAAGAAAAAAATGAAAGAAAATCTCAGCTTTTGGGCAATAAGTATTTGACTTTATTAACTATGATTCTAACTTTGAAAGTGAAGAGAGTTGCCCCAACTCTAGAATCTTCTTGCCAGATGCCTTGAGAAATGAATAGCTTCTGCAGCCTCATATTTCTCCTTTGTAAAACTCAAGAAATTGACCAGGATTTTTTTAAGTTCCTCTTTCAACTATTCTGTTCCTTAATTGTTCTTTTTTGTGTTTCACCAAGCTATTGCTGTGTTGATTGATTCTAATTGTCAATATTTGTAGGCCAATCATAGACCTGGAGTTACTTACCTCTCATCTTTCCTCAATTTGTGTTGAACTTCCCTGCTCTTGAGATAAATATCCCAGGGTGAATGCAAGAAGATGTAGATTTTCACTAGAAGAACTGCTTACCCTGTTTTTTCCTAAGTCATTCAAATTATTATTCTCTAACTTTGTGGCCTGAGGAAACATACCTTTGTCCTGAATGGGGAGCTCTCCCTCCATCTTCTTCCCCAAAGAATTAACTCTTGCTTTAACTATAAATTGGATGTGCATTTTTTCCATTTTATTTTGTTTGTTTGGGGGCCATATGCAGTGCTTTTCAGGGCTTACTCCTTTCTGTGCTCAAGGATCACTCCTGGAGATATTCTGGATGCTGGGGATTTGCCACATGAAAGTCAGGCATCTTAATCCCTATACAAATAAGATCATTTATATTAAACAGAAGTTAATTTGGCTGCTGTCTTTGTTGTTGTTGTTGTTATCATTATTGTTTGGGGAGCACACATGATTGTGCTCAGAATTTACTCCTAGCTCTGCACTGAAGAATCACTCTTCGCAGTGTTCAGGGAACCATCTGGCGTGGCATGGATCAAATGTGGGTCAGCTTCATGCATGGCAAATGCCCTAACCACAGTACTACTACCCTGGCCCCAAGCTGGTGGTTATCTTATTGAACTCATGCATATCACTATATCACTGTCATCCCATTGTTCATCGATTTACTCAAGCAGGCACCAGTAATGTCTCCATTGGTCCCAGCCCTGAGATTTTAGTGGCCTCTCCTTACTCGTCTTTCTCAACGCTGCCATAAGGAGGCTCTTTCAGGGTCAGGGGAATAAGACCCGTTATTGTTACTGTTTTTGGCATATTGAATACGCCACGGGGAGCTTGCCAGGCTCTGCTGTGTGGGCAGGATACTCTCGGTAGTTTGCCAGGCTCTCTCTCTCTCTCTCTACTGTCTGAACCTCATCAAATATGGTGTGGTAATTATGGAAAATGGGTAGGGAGTGTCTTATGATGTGTCGGTCCAGGAATATGTTCACTCATATGTGAGGCTCAGCCCAAGCATGTGGAAAGTGGCCTGCAGCATGGCAGCGGTTGGGTATTGGAGGTCATCTGCTGGGACTGGGTCCCTTGGGGGCAGGGAGGGCTCTCACTAGCTCCCCTCCGGGGTGCCTTGAGTGAAAACAGCCTGGCGTGGAGTCTGGTGGCACGGTTATGGGGGCCAATGCGTAAACACTTCAAATATTTTTAAATCCCCTTATCCATTGCTTTCAAACTTTCTAATTGTACAGGTCTAGAATCAAATATGATTTATCAATAGTTTGTTCAGAATATTATTATTGTTTTTATTTTATTTTAGAAGATCTCTTGAAATAGCTAGTAATTTCATTTATTGTTGTCAGCAAATACTCAACATGAGATCACAGTAATCAGAACTCTATTAATTCAGAGACATATTGCTTCAAGAGTTAGCTTTTCTAAACTGTAATATAGCATTAATAGTACCAACCCTTGAATGGGAACTGAAAGGAGGTCTAGGAAGCCTAAGTACAAAACATCATCCAGCAAATTAGTCATAATAGTTTTCTAATTCTTTATAATGTCACAGCACCTGACTTGAATTAACTCATTTAACCTTAGGGAAAACACATAAGGTTAATGCTATTGTCCTCATTTTTACTTTTCCGGAAGCTGAGGAACAAAGGGGAAAAGTAATCTGCCCCAGTCACACAGTTAAGTCCCAAAGACCAAGAATATATTTATTCTATAAAAAGACCAAGAAGCATTGGCTGTTTTTAGAACTTTCTGAGATAGTAAAATTGAGCCCAATTAAAAGGGCTTTGCATATTAGAAGCAAGGTGTCTTAGAGTTCTGGAAAGTGAATTGAACTTAGAGACCCTTCTCTGATGTCAATGGTAATAGCATCAAGCAATTGATAAACTGGTTTCATCTATCAGATAGAATATTTGGATCCAGGTCTCTGGGGTTGTAATCTTCCCTATATGAGAAACTGGTTATAAATATTGGTGTTTGTTGATTTGCCCAGATGTTAAATAATTCTTACTCAGCCAAGGCAGAGAATATCTACCAGTATTTGAGGTATCAAGCTAGTATTGCCTGCCTCTAAGTGCAGTGCCAAGTTCTCTTTCTAAATCCTATTCTCTGGGGGCAGCAGGGAGGGCTTCAAGGAATTAATGGGTAACCAGTTATGAGCCGTTTTCCCCAGAGAAGAAGCTATTGAAACTAGAAACATTATTTTCGAATAGAAACATTAGCATGCTGCTTGCTAGGTGGTTGGAAGGTCACTGGGATTGGAGACAAAGAATTTCTTTCTCAGCACAACTCTTTCTCAGGGATTTTGATCTGCCTCTAATCAAGCATTACTTCAGTGCTCCACCTCTGTGCTTCATGGAATTCCGTGGTAGCGATGGGGCTCCATAAACTTTGAGTTTATTTATGCTTGATTAGGTCTATAGTGCTTAGCCTTTCTATTGGTTTTTGTTTCTTTTCTCTCTTTTTTTGTAGCAAATACAATTGCACAGCAATCTATTCTCTACTCTCATAGAATTCTCTCTGAGTCTTCAGCTCCTGATTTTGTGTTAAGGTTCCGACCAGCCATTCTCAATTGTTTAATGGGTCCCAATGGAAAGGGACAAGTGATTAAAAACACACATGTTCTCTCTCTCTCTCTCTCTCTCTCTCTCTCTCTCTCTCTCTCTCTCTCTCTCTCTCCCTCCCTCCTATAATCTTAATCCTAAAGAGTCATTTTCTTATTATTGTTGTGGCACAAAGGACCAAAGTTTCATCTTCTGTATGACTTCTTTTAAATTACAGCACAAAAAATAAAATAAAATAAATTACAGAGCAAAGGTAGAAGAGAAACAGGAGAGATTTTACCCTCTTTACACTCATCACTCATCCTTAAACGGTTCTTCAAACCATGATAGAATACGTCATGATCTTATCTTTATGTAATGTGAACTCTCAGTTGTAGAAGGAACCCAGAGTTTCCTAGAATACAAATACTAAGTAAAAGCTTCCCTCAGAAGCCCTCACAAACCACTTCCTTTTCCTTTATCCTCTTTTACCACTCACCTTTCTAGCCATGGACTTCTTGGATTCCATAATTATCAAGAGCACAAACTTCAACCTAATTTTTAAAAAATTTTTTTATTAGTGAAACATCAGCCTAATTTTTAAAGAGTATCACAAGGCTTCAAGTACTGGCCTTCCATTACTTTATCTCTTTTCTTCCATTAAGTAGTTGCATTGACTAAGAGAAACTTGGTTAAGTAAAACAAGTACCCCTTCCCGACCACTGACTGGAAAGGAGGTCCAGTACCCAGAACAGTTGCTCAATAGCGGAAAACAAGAACACCATGCAGGACCTATAGTTCCTGGGTACAATATAGGTGATTAATACATGTCACTTATAAGGGACATGAAGTTACAAAGGAATGAAAAGCATGAGACTGAAAGATCAAGTACACTTTTAGAGAACACAGGGGCAAAATTCCAAATCACAGACAAAAATTGAATGAATATGTAAAGTCACCCACATGCTTCATCCCACGGGCATTCTTTCCTGTTACAAATGATCATCGTTGCTTTGACATCAAAGTGCATCCAAATATTTTAGTGAAGCATCAGAAAGATCACTTCTAGTTTTCTAAGTGCTTCTGGCACATTTACAATGCTCCCCAACTTCTCCGTCTGCTAGGAAGGAGCAAGCATGTGGTAATGGCAGCCATCGTGCTGTGAAACATTAATAATGCCAAGAAATGAAATCTTCAGAGCCTTTGAAAGGTTTCCAAGAATGTCAGCACTTACTGCCTGCCCACTCTCTGCTGACTTTGACTTTGGCTCTCCGCTTAGTACTGAATGTGCCAGACGGGACTTCATACAAAGAAAAAGTGTTTGGGGCCCATGAAAGGGGGAAGCAGAGTTTCTGATGTGAATGGTGAGATTCAAAGTGGCAGGATGAGAGGGGGGCTTAAGAAAATGTATGAGTCAAAGACCAAAGAGAAAGATGTGTCATTTATCTACACAGTATAAATTTTTTGTGAGTTCACATCATCAGATCTAAAAAGCTAGTTGCCTCTCATACCATGCTCTATGCCTGATTATCATGGGAGAAATATTTTCTTAGACTTTTTCCCTCTATATCCAAGGATAAACTAAAAGAAAGAATTTTAAAGTTCTGTTAAGGCACATATAAAGTATACTGTTGTTTCTAATTTAATACTGAGTATGAATGTCATTATACTGTTTGGGTTTTTGGATTTTCTTGAACTCTTTTTGTGAGAAAAAAAATTGAGAAACGTCCATTGTATTATATCAGAATGTCATGGAATATTTTAGTTAGCTTCAAGAAGTGAAGAAAAATAAAATATTCTTTAGTAGTGCTGCTCATAGTTCTCTGGCACAGCATCTACTGCTAGGGGAAAAAACTTTTGTGGTCTGAGTTTTTCCAAGGAGACAGTCCGACGTCATTAGTGGCAGAAACAGTATGTATGTATCTGTCTGTTTGCGCCATCTGTTTTACTCCTTACAGGTTTTTGTAAGGATTTACTCTTCTTTCCAGGAAGTCTGTCTATCCATGAGAGTATGGGATTATGGTGTTAAAGGGTCTGAACTGATACCCTAACATTATTTCCCTTTGTTTTTTCCTTCCCAGAATCTTATGGCAAGAGCCTTATATGACAATGTCCCAGAGTGTGCTGAGGAATTGGCCTTTCGCAAGGGAGACATCCTAACTGTCATAGAACAGAACACCGGAGGTCTGGAGGGATGGTGGCTCTGCTCCTTACACGGTCGTCAAGGCATTGTCCCTGGCAACAGGGTGAAGCTTCTTATTGGCCCTGTGCAGGAACCCTCCATTCAAGACCAGCCTTCTTCTGGACTGTTGCAACAGAGTTTTGGCCAACAGAAGCTCTATCAAGTTCCAAACCCACAGGGTGCTCAAGACACTGTCTACCAAGTGCCACCTTCTTACCAGAACCAGGGGATTTATCAAGTACCTGTTGGCCATAGTGCCCAAGAACAAGATATCTATCAAGTGCCACCATCCGTGCAGAGGGGCCCTGGGGGCGCTAACAGTTCCTACTCAAGCAAAAAGGTAAGTGTGAAACTGACATTTTATTTATGCTCCCCCTCCCCCCACATTATGCTGAGAAGCAATAGAAATGTCCCCAAAATTCTGGCTGGATGATAATCCAGTGGGGAGGGCATTTGCCTTGCACGTGACTGACCCAGGTTCAATCCCCAGCATCCCATATGGTCCCCCGAGCACTGCCAAGAGAAATTACTGAGTGGAGAGTTCAGGAGTAACCCCAGAGCGTCACCAGGTGTGACCCAAAAAAGCCAAAAATAAATAAATAAATAAATAAGAAGTAGCTAGCCTCTGAGCACCACCAGATATGTCCCAAACACAAAATAAAACAAAACAAAACAAAAGAAGCATCCCCCCCAAAAATCTTAAAGCTTATAAGTAAATATATCTAGTATCTATTTTTGGTTTCAGTGAGCAAAATGCTCTTGAAGCCCTACCATATGACAAATATGGTTGATCCATGGCCATTGTAAATTCATTCTGGGCTCTACAGATAGTTACTTCATATTCTTTCCATCTTTCTGATAGATCTATCTTTGAATATAATTTCTGTGCTGTTTTTGTTTGTGTTTTTAATGTTTCTCCCTTGAGTGGTACAAGGCACCAAATTTTGTATAAGCGCAGTGCTGCATCAAGGAACCCATCTTTCTCCAAAAGCTGAATCATGACCTCATTGGCCTCTTTGCACAAAGAATCCACCATAAGTAGAGGGAGCAAGGAATTTGGGAGTGGCTCATTCCAACCAACTTGTTTTGTGAAGCTATTAGTTTAAAGTTTAACTCGTTTAAAATATATAGATACAAGTGAATTTATAAAAGAACTATTCTCTTGACATTCCAATAAGTACAATAATAATGCCTAAGAAGTGAGTGAAAATAGCAACACTAAGATATTTAAGAAGTCATGTTTGGGCCAGAGTGATAGTACAGTGGGTAGGATGTTTGTCTTGCAACCTGGAATCAGTACAGTGGGTAGGATGTTTGTCTTGCAACCTGGAATCAATTCCCAGTATCCCAAATCGTCCCCTGAGCACCTCCAGGAGTAATTCCTGAGTGCAGAGCCAGGACTAACCCCTGAGCATTGCTGGGAGTGACCCAAAAAAGCATCCCCAACAAAAAAGTCACGTTGGGGACTGAACTGTGTCTGCATTCCATGCAGGAGATCTGGATTTGATTCCTGCTACTACAAGCTAAAAAGGAATTAAAGGAGAAAAACAAAGACAATATAAGAAAGCAACACAAAAAGAAAATAAGATAGAATTAAAATAGTTACAAAGGTATCATGTTGGAAAATGGCAGGTGAGGGGAGTTTCTTCAGTATAATGACAAATGTGAAGAATAGAAATTCCTTGTGTTTGATTATTGTAGTAAGATGATCAGAGTAGACAAAGTCATCCTGTTGTTTATGTGGTATTGAGATGACATAAGCAAACATTGTATGGGGATATGTGCTTGAAAAAAATTACTAAACTTATGAGAGTGATGACCAACACCAGGATGATGTGCCTTTGTGAGCATCACATGACAGGGCTTTACTCTTGCTTACCAAAAACTCCCAAGGTCTCTACCCTGGGACCTGCTAGGGTATTAAGCATGAGCGAATTTCAGTACCATGAATGCTAAAATTATTATAACCACTCTACCCAAACTCTAATGATATTCTTAGTTTAAGAAAACAATTAATGAATTTTACAGTACAAGAAAAAAATCCCGGAGTCAAAAAAGGAAAGAGAGAGGGGTCTCCAAAAGACCTAACTACTCTTTGAATACTACATATACATTCACCTAACTCAAGAAACAAGGTCTAGGGGCTGGAGCGATAGCATAGCAGATAAGGTGTTTGCCTCACATGCGGCCGACCCAGGTTCAATTCCCAGCATCCCATATGGCCCCCTGAGTACCGCCAAGAGTAATTCCTGAGTGCAGAGCCAGGAGTAACCCCTGTGCATCGCTGGGTGTGACCCAAAAAAAAAAAAAAGAAAGAAAAGAGACAAGGTCTAGGGGGCACGTTGGTGATGGTAAAGTGAGAAAACAGTGTGCACCAAAACCATAAATGTCAGGCAGCAAACAGTAGGAGGATGAGGGAAGTAAAGGAATATTGGAACAGAGATGATGTAAGAACATAATATGAGGTGGAAGGTCAGAGGCATTTATTTGGTGGTTATGTGCTTTGTACACCAATACTCTACTCAAACACTATTGGAACATTACTATTTAAACTAAAATAAATCAATTTTTTTAAAAAAAAATTTGAAGAAACTGTGGGGGAGGTGATCCAGGTCTAGGTACTACAGATAGATTAGATCATTCCCTTTCAACTTTTTTCTTAGTCAGGGATCTTATTTATTTATTTATTTATTTTTTATTTATTTATTTTTGTTTTTTGGGTTACACCCGGCGATGCTCAGGGGTTACCCCTGGCTTTGCACTCAGGATTCACTCCTGGTGGTGCTTGGGGGACCATTTGGGATGCTGGGAATCGAATGCGGGTTGGCTGCGTGCAAGGCAAATGCCCTACCAGCTGTGCTATCACACCAGCCCCTTAGCCAGGGATTTTAAATGCAGAGAGAAAGCTAACCCAGGCCTCTATCTCCAATGGGAGAAAGAACAGTTGAAAAATATAACTATAAATAAATCACGCCTCTGTTCTCAGTCCTATTTATTTGCACCTTAAAAATAGCACTTCCTCATCTGAGCTGGTGAGAGGCCAACAAGGGAACCAGAACAAGGAATGCTAAGCTCAAAGGTGGAAGGGTCTAACCTTTTATTCACAGTTTATTTTGGCAGGAAAGCGACATGCTTTCCTTTTAAGAGTCGATTTTTTTTTTTCATTTCAAATCTAAATCGTCTTAGACTTGATATTTGCTTCCACGTTATTTGCTTTAGCAGATGGCGGGTTTGCTTCTAGTTTCTCCATCCTTTTGGAGAAACTAGAAGGCAGCATCCATGACTTCTGGTTGACCTTGGCATTGCTGGGGTTTGGTGTCAGACTCAACCGTTGTTTGTTTCATTAATTCTAATACCAGTGGAACAGTTTGTGGGTTAGCAAAACAAGAGTGCCTTCTGTAGGAGGCTTCTGAAATAGACCTCTGCCAGCTTTCACGAGTGCTGGGACCAGACCTAGGGGCTGTACTCATTAGGAAACAAATCTTGAGCACTAAGCTGAAACAGAAGTGTTGAGGATAGAAAAGGATGGGGACATTGGTCCTGACTTTTTCTGCCAAATCTTCTATAGGGTATCCTGACCTCCTCACCTGGAAAGTCATTTCAGGGACACCGAATCTCTGAATTGTCCACCTCTTTCTTGTCTTCTGGACCATTTCAATCTCTTTCCTCTCCCTTCTCTCCCTTCTGTGTTAGTGTTTTTCTTCTCTCCCCAGTTTCCTTTCCTTCAACTACTCCCTCTTTACTTCCTTCCTTCCATGCATCCTCACTCCTTCCCTTCCTTCCTTCCTTCCTTCCTTCCTTCCTTCCTTCCTTCCTTCCTTCTTTCCTTCCTTCCTTCCTTCCTTTTTCCCTCTTTCCCTCCCTTTTTCCCTCTTTTCCTCCCTCCCTCCCTCCTTTCCTCCCTTCCTCCCTCCCTTCCTCCCTCCCTCCCTCCCTCCCTCCCTCCTTCCTTCCTTCCTTCCTTCCTTCCTTCCTCCCTTTATCCCTCTTTCCCTCCCTTTATCCCTCTTTCCCTCCCTTTTTCCCTCTTTTCCTCCCTCACTCCCTCCCTCCCTCCCTCCCTCCCTTCCTCCCTCTCCTTCCTCCCTCCCTCCCTCCCTCCCTCCCTCCCTTCCTTCCGTCCTTCCTTCCTTCCTTCCTTCCTTCCTTCCTTCCTTCCTTCTTTCCTTCCTTCCTTCCTTCCTTCCTTCCTTCCTTCCTTCCTTCCTTCCTTCCTTCCTTCCATAGTTTGACTTCTAAGACATGATTTTAACTTCTAGATAATAGCAGCTATTTTTAAAAATTGTCAGTCTCCTCACTGTGGGTTTCTGACTCAAGCAATTTCCAGTGTGTGAGTACCAACCAACCAGTACTTAAACCAAGGCCTGAAGGTTAATCCCAGTACAGTGAAGATCAGTTGGATTTTTCTTTTGGAGTTCTTGTTTTAGCAATATTATTGACTTACTAAATGGCCCTTCACCTGTGTTTCTTTTAATTTCCCATCTGTTAAATGATTGATAACCTAGAATTAGTATTGGTAGTTTAGACTGTGATCCATATATACAAATAGGAAAAAAAAATGAGCTAGTGGAATCTTCCTCTGAACAAGTTAAAGTATAGTTTTAACTTTTTAGTGAATATAATAATCACGTAAAGAGATAGGGAAGGTGAATTGAAATAATGAACCAAAGTCCTTTCTCTGCAAAAATTTTGACCCAAAAATTCAGGAGTCTGCATTTGAGTAATCTCCTTGTATGGTCAAGTGCAATCTCCTTGTATAGTCCTGGATGGTGATCCGGGGTGAAACAGTCATGAATGAGGTCGGATATGCTCTAATCTGATTGTGATTAGAGACTTTTCATGGTTAAGTATCTCTTGATCTTGCTACAGAATGCAAGCTTCAGAAGTTTTGCTCATCACGTTTTCCTGTGACTAAATCAATTAAGAAAAAAAAATCATCGCAATGAATTTTGCCTCTCTTACTTCAACTGTATATTTTCCTGAAAACTCTGGTCTCTACCCTCCTTCTCACAAGCCACCCACATTATATGACCTTCATCATATAATGGTGAAATATTAAAGAAAGAAACATCATGGGGTCATAGAGATAATAATACAACAGACAGGGCGCTTGCCTTGCTAGTGACCAACAGGTTCAATCCCCAGCACCCAACATGGTCTCCTGAGCACAGCCAGGAGTGGTCCTTGAGTGCAGAGTCAGAAGTAAGCACTGAGTACCACCATGTCTGTGACCCCAAAACAAAAACAAAAAATAAATAATATCATATAATTGCCATCCTTTTATGAGAGAAGAAGACAACATGCCCATAAAGAAAAGGCTTCAGGTTTAAGTTCTATTTT